ATAACTACTTGCTAACCATACCCCGGCCGGGATTGAACCCGCGGTCAGAGAGTCTCAAAACTCCAGCCCGTCGCGTTAGCCACTAGACCAGCTAGCCACAATAAAATTCGTCCAACTAGGTATATTTCTATACCATAGGAAGGTTAGCACAGGCACCACTGTGACCACAAATGCAAGTTTTTCGTCTGTAAAAACTTGCATTTGTGGTCACAGTGGTGCCTGTGCTAACCTTCCTATGGTATAGAAATATACCTAGTTGGACGAATTTTATTGTGGCTAGCTGGTCTAGTGGCTAACGCGACGGGCTGGAGTTTTGAGACTCTCTGACCGCGGGTTCAATCCCGGCCGGGGTATGGTTTGTTTGCAATCGTGTCATTACGATTTCGTGAGTCATGTTGACGGCAGTGAAGGGACTTGAGCTAGAGTTCGTCACGGCCACGCTAGCTGGAGATTCGTCTGTAAAAACTTGCATTTGTGGTTACAGTGGTGCCTGTGCTAACCTTCCTATGGTGTAGAAATATATCTAGTTGGACGAATCTTATTGTGGCTAGCTGGTCTAGTGGCTAATGCGACGGGCTGGAGTTTTGAGACTCTGACCGCGGGTTCAATCCCGGCCGGGGTATGGCTTGTTTGCAATCGTGTCATTACGATTTCGTGAGTCAACTACTTGCTATATTCACCGTTCTCGATTATCTGAATCTGCAGACGCCTCAGGCATAGCACTTGCAGATACCCTAGGCATAGTATCCGCAGATATCCCAAGAATAGCACCTGCAGATACCCCAGGCATAGTATCTTCAGACCGTGGCCGGATAGATGGCCGACGGACATTTGGCCGACAGACATTTCACCGACGGACATTTCACCGACGGACATCTGGCCGAATGGACATTTCACCGAACGGACATTTCATCGACCGAATTGACATTTGATCGAAAAATAAACTAGAGAACAGGCAATTTGGCAAATTTGTTGTTATCCTTAGCTCTCCTACAGTGCTGCTGTTTCTTGGTCTCTGACCAGACTCCCTAACTACTACCTCTCTATTTCCTACTACCTCTCTCGTCCCGTCCCTGTCAGCTGGCCTATATATACTGCCTCCTCTCTTTTCTGTTAGTGTAACTTTGTAAATGGTCCAAGTCGAACCATCTGTTGAATAAAATGTTCGTTTTTCTTAAGATCATAGCATTCATACCAACAAGAGGAAGAAAATTATTGCTTGGCTACACCTACATCGCTGAAAAAAAAGACAATGTAACATACTGGCGATGTGAACGCAAAGGAAGGTGTGGAGGGCGACTAAAAACAGAAGATGAAGTTATAGAAGGAGAAACAAGTAATTATTTACATTCTCCTGATGCTGGACGCAATCTCTCTTTGAAAACAGAAGAGAAAATTAGAGAAAGAGCTAAACAGTCTGAGGAAGTGACTTCGACTTTTATATAAAACTGCACCAGTGAGTACCCACTTGATGCTGCAGGTGCTCTTCCTAAAAAAAAAAAAAAAAAAAAAAAAAAAAAAAAAAAAAAAAAAAAAAAAAAAAAGGAACCCCTCAAGGAAGGTTCCTTGATGTTGGTGAGGGGCTCTTGATTTAGGGAATTGGATCTGTGCTCCAGTTCCCCGAATTAAGCCTGAATGCCTTCCACATCCCCCCCCCAGGCGCTGTATAATCCTCCGGGTTTAGCGCTTCCCCCTTGATTATAATAATAATAATCTTCCTAAAAAGGAAGCCCTGGCAAGAATGGTGCGTAGACAATGCAATGCAAGGCACCGAATGGAGACATTTTAACTGATGACTTCAGGAAATCAAGAGGAAATTTTGTCATCCATGAAAGTGACAACCTGATAATTCTATCAACGCCTCGAAATTAATTTACAGCTTCTTGCTTTCAAAGACCACTGGCTGTGATGGAACTTTTGATTCTGCCCCATTAGGCTTTCAGTTATATACAATGCATGTTATGCTGGATAAAAGCCATT